CCTCCTCATTCTCTGACGTGGGATGCTGTAGACGATGAGAGTGGGCCTGTCGCTTTAATCAGCCAGCCTGAACACCTCCTCTGTCAGCCAGGGTCTCTGGGGAGGTCTGGACCGTGTACCCAAAGCAGCCATTGCAGCTACATGAGTCAGTCCTATACCTCGCCCATTTCCCCACGACAACAGGAGGAGTGGTGGACAATGCCAACCCCAGCTGCAAGCGATGATTAAATTCTCGCTTGCAACTTTCATAAGCTAGCTGAGACCATGTCACTAAGGGTTTGAATGGGGTCCTGTGTGTACACCCACCACTGGAGTAGAAGAATGGCAGGCGCATCTTACAGATGACAAGTCGACGGTCAGTGGGCAGATCAGCTCCACGGTAGGTCCTGGTGTCAAGGACATGGGTCCGCATCTGCTGTTTCGTCACTATGTAGTGAGCAGATGTTCTTGCTTGGACCCGGCATGCATCCATGATGTGTGGATGCGCCGATGCCAGAACAGCGTGTTGGTAATTACAAGCCCATGAGCTGCACAAAAATCTATCAGCCTCCTGCCGTTTTTATTGAGCTGATCTGGCCCATGCCTTCCAATCACTCCAGATCAGGTGCCAGCATCATGACCAACTCGGGCATTGAAGTCGCCCAACAAGATGACTCTATCCCGAGGGGCCACTTTAGCTAGCACCTGTGACAGGAGGTCATAGAAGGCATCTGACTCATCGGCCTTGCTTGCATCCCTTCACGGATGTTCGTCTTCAGTGGGGGCATAAGTAACCACGACCACCACTCCTCACCTCTGGTTGATGGGAAGGCGAACCTAAAGTAGCCTGGGGCTTACAGCTTCCAACACCTCAATGCCACGCTCCCACGCCCCCCAGAGCCGGTCCACCGGACCTCCTGAATACCACAGAGATTCAGGCGGTACCGGTCCAGCTCCCAACAGAGGAGTGGCAGCCTCTCCTCCGCAGTGAGCGTTCGAAAACTCCACGTGGCCACACGCAGTGGTTTTTTGTTGTTTCTGGAGGAGCCCCGAGGGTAAAGATTCAATCTCCTGGCTCCGCCAAATGGAGTTTGGCCAGTAGAGGTCATAGACAGCTGTCCCCCCGGGGCCTCTGGCACAAGCTTATTAATTAAAAATTTCCGTCGTGGTTTAGTGGTAATGAATTTAAGGTGGAGGGGTTACCAGCCTCTCGCACCCATCCATAGCCCCCTTTTGGTCACTGTGGTGGTCACAAATGCCATGAGGGGAAAGGCTAATCGGAATTGGCCCTCCCCCCACAGCACTGCCCAAGATAGCATTGCCCGTCCGGCACCATGAGCAGGTAGGAAGTTGTTTTGCCGGACTAGAGACACACACACACACGTAGAGAAAGACATATACACGTAAATACATACAGAGACACACACAGAAACACACACACACAGAAAAAGACATACACGTACATACACACAGATACACATACAGAGACACACACACACATAGAAATGGACATATACACATACATACATACACATAGACAGATACATATACACGTACAGGAGGACAGATACAGGTTATTGTATTTTTCGATTTAAAGCTTTCGTGACTGCAGGGATTCATCTTCTTGGTTGTTTCGGTAAAGTCACGTAGAAGGGAAGTAATAAAATACTTACTTCCCTTCTACGTGACTTTACCGAAAGAACCAAGAAGAGGTTATTGTATATTTTACAGCGTGTACCCGATTTACGACGTTAAATATCACCGGTTCTATTTACGCCGTCAAAACTCGCAGCTTCTGACACGACTCCGAACCCACATTCTGTCTGGTTTCCGATGTGGCTTCGGCGCTTTTGCTCTTCTCAAGGGTTTTTTTCGTGTGGATTTTTTTTTTGTCAAATGAAACGCCCCCCCCCCTGTTAAACACGGAAAGGGAAAAAAAAACGCAACAACATCGTCAACTGGCGTTTTTCCTGTTTGTACTATGGGAAAACGGGCTCGTTATATGAAGGGAGTTCCATGGATTTATTGTGTCGTAAAAGCGGGGATCTCCGGTATATATTTTATTATCGTATAAGACAAAGACCCACCGTATAGCCTGGACTGACTGTTAGGGCAAGTGCTGTTAGCGAGCACCTATGAAGGCCGGAACGGCACACGAGTGGGTGGGTGGCCGATACCACGCCCGGCCGCCTTTGTCTCCCCGCAACTCAATTGAAGCTGAGTCGACCTAGGGGAGGCCCAGGACCAGTTCAGATAATCGTCACCGGTGTTGGCCGTGGCCAGGAATCGAGCTCGGGTTCGTAGCGCTAACTGCTGCACTACTGCACACACACACGTAAACGCGAGCATCTGTGTGTATGCGCGTGTGTGTGTACGCCTGTGTGTGTGTACGTGTGTGTGTGTCTGTACGCGTGTGTGTGTGTATACGCGTGTGTGTGTACGCCTATGTGTGTGTACGTGTGTGTGTGTCTGTACGCGTGTGTGTGTGTATACGCGTGTGTGTGTGTGTATACGCGTGTGTGTGTGTATACGCGTGTGTGTGTGTATACGCGTGTGTGTGTATACGCGTGTGTGTGTGTATACGCGTGTGTGTATGTGTATACGCGTGTGTGTGTGTATACGCGTGTGTGTGTATACGCGTGTGTGTGTGTATACGCCTATGTGTGTGTACGTGTGTGTGTCTGTACGCGTGTGTGTGTGTTCGCGTGTGTGTGTACGTGTGTGCGGGGAGCGGTAGTGTAGTGGTTAGCGCGCTGCGCTACGCACCCGGCCACCCAAGTTCGATTCCCGCTCACGGCCAACACCCAGTGACGATTATCTGAACTGGTCATGGGCCTCCCCTAGGTCAACTCAGCCTCAAATGAGTACCTGATGCGGGAAACAAAGTCGGCCGGGCGTGGTGCTGGCCACCCACCCTCTCGTGTGCCGTTCCGGCCTTCAAAGGTCCTCGCTAACAGCACTTGTCCCAACAGTCTGTTCAGGCTATACGGGGGATCTTTGTCTTTCGTGCGCGCGTGCGCGCGCGTGTGTGTGTGTGTGACACTGACTGCACGACGGGCAGAACGTTTGACAGCAATTACGGTCGATGAGACGTTTCGTTTTTATAAAGGGAACAAAGATCCCCCGTATAGCCTCTAACAGACTGCTGGGGCAAGTGCTGTTTTCGAGTAGCACCGATGAAGGCCGGCACGGCACACGTGGGGGTGGCGTGTCAGACACCACGCCCGGCCGCCTTTGTCTCCCCACCGCTGTTGCTTACACACCGCACCAGGTGACTCTTTTGATGCGTGCGGAGACGTCGGACCGGTTCAGATATTATCCGCGCCGCTGTTGGGCCGCGTGAGCTGGAGTCAAACCTGGGTCGTCTGGTTCGTAGCGCAGTGCCCTAACCACAGCGCCACCGCTCCTCCCCCGCGCTCCCACACTCCCAAAATCCCCGCCGTCTCTGGAGCACTTCTGGCAAGGACGCAAAAATGCGACGCGTTCCAAATTAAAGAAGCCCGCCCAGTGTCGCGACCCCGCCACGGAGTGCGCAGGCGGTGCAACTGCGCCGGTTGCCCACCACAAGGTGTAGGGGGCCCAGGGTCGAGAGGACACCCCGGGCAAAGGGGGGCTCAATGCCAACCGTGCTGACACCACGGAGACCCATAGACTCACACATAGAGACCCATAGACTCACACAGTGAAGCCCATAGACTCACACATAGAGACCATTAGACGCACACAGAGGCCCATAGACTCACACATAGAGGCCCATAGACTCACACATAGAGACCCATAGACTCACACATAGAGACTCATAGACTTGCATAGAGACTCGTATATTCAAACATAGAGACGCATAGACTCACACATAGAGACACATTTCCACACAAAGAGACCCATAGACTCACACATAGAGGCCCATAGACTCACATATAGAGGCCCATAAACTTGCATAGAGACTCGTATATTCAAACATAGAGACGCATAGACTCACACATAGAGACACATTTCCACACAAAGAGACCTATAGACTCACACATAGAGGCCCATAAACTCACACATAGAGACCCATAGACTTGCATAGAGACTCGTATATTCAAACATAGAGATGCATAGACTCACACATAGAGACCCATTTCCACACAAAGAGACCCATAGACTCACACATAGAGACCCATAGACTTGCATAGAAACTCGTATACTCAAACAAAGAGACCCATATACACACATAGAGACCCATAAACTCACATAGAGACCCATAAACTCACACAAAGAGACCCATAGATGTACACAGAGACCCATATACTTACATAGATACCCATATAGTTACAAAGATACCCATAAACTCACGCATAGAGACCCATCGACTTACATAGAGACTCGTATACTCACACATAGAGACCCATAGACTCACATCGTGACCCGTAAACACACATAAAGACCCATAAACTCACACATAGAGACCCATAAACTCACACATAGAGACCCATAGACGTACATAGAGACCCATATACTTACATAGATACCCATATAGTTACATAGTGACCCGTAAACTCACTCAGAGACCCTACACTCCCAGAGACTACGCTGTGAACCTGGCCAGCCTAAGTTTGATACTCGGCCACGGCCAACATCAGTGGCGAGTGATATCCGACGACCCCTGAGCACCCCCTCTGGACGCGCACTTCACCGGCAGGGTGAAGTATGGTCAAACAGCCCACGTGACCGATGCGGAGTGGGGAGACCTTCACCCAGCAGTGGATTGACAAAGCGATCGTGGAAGAATTAAATTGTTATATTCTTATTTTGCTTTCGCAGCTCATGTCCGTTTCTCACCTGTGTTTCTCTCTCTCTCCCACTTACCTCATTCCCGATCTTACCCGATGCCACCACGACTACCACCACCAAACTACCATCAATACGACCACCACCACCGCTATAAACACCACCACCATGGACACGTGCTGACACCACGACCACCATCACCATAATCACCATTGTCACCTCCACCACCTCCACCACCCTCCTCCTTGCAGAAGCGCTGGCATAGACCTCCTCCACCGCCGCCGTCGCGATGGAAGGGAGCGTCGAGCAGGGTGGCCGGTGGCTCGGACACCCGCACGGGCCCTCTGCGACGCTCGCCCCGGGCCAGCACCACCACCACCACGGCCACCACCACGGCGTGGAGTCCAACCTAGGCCACGGCGGCTACGGGCCTGAGTCCGGGGCGGCCGGGCAGCTCATGCCGGCCGACGAGTTGGACGCCTTCCTCAACCACCTGGACGGCCCCGGGGCCCCCGTGCAGGGGCCCTACTACGTCGCGGGGCCCGGCGCTCGCCTCCACGGCTACCGGCAGGCCCACGGTACGCTGGTGGGCGAGCCACGGTGGCTAGGAGATGTTGACTAACTCGCCTGGTGTGCAGGAGGGTCGTGGGTTCGATCTCGACCCTGAAGATGCCTGCTGTGAATTGAGTCTGCGTCTGTCTCGTCATCATCATCATCACGGTGGCTAGGAGATGTTAGCTACCTCGCCTGGTGTGCAGGAGGGTCGTGGGTTCGACCTCGACCCTGATGATGCCTCCTGTGAATTGAGTCTGCGTCTGTCTCATCATCATCATCACGGTGGCTAGGAGATGTTAGCTACCTCGCCTGGTGTGCAGTAGGGTCGTGGGTTCGATCCCGACCCTGAAGATGCCTGCTGTGAATTGAGTCTGCGTCTGTCTCATCATCATCATCACGGTGGCTGGGAGATGTTAGCTACCTCGCCTGGTGTGCAGGAGGGTCGTGGGTTCGATCTCGACCCTGAAGATGCCTGCTGTGAATTGAGTCTGCGTCTGTCTCATCATCATCATCATCATCACGGTGGCTAGGAGATGTTAGCTACCTCACCTGGTGTTCAGGAGGGTCGTGGGTTCGATCTCGACCCTGAAGATGCCTGCTGTGAATTGAGTCTGCGTCTGTCTCATCATCATCATCACGGTGGCTAGGAGATGTTAGCTACCTCGCCTGGTGTGCAGGAGGGTCGTGGGTTCGATCTCGACCCTGAAGATGCCTGCTGTGAATTGAGTCTGCGTCTGTCTCATCATCATCATCATCACGGTGGCTAGGAGATGTTAGCTACCTCGCCTGGTGTACAGGAGGGTCGTGCGTTTTATCACGACCCTGATGCCTGCTGTATATTTGGAGTTTGCGTCTCTCTCTCTCTCATCATCACGGTGGCTAGGAGATGTTAACTACCTCGCCTGGTATACAGGAGGTCGTGGATTCGATCTCGGCCCCGATGCCTGTTGTATATTTGGAGTTTGCGTGTCTCTCTCATCATCATTATCACGGTGGCTAGGAGATGTTAACGACCTCGCCTGGTATACAGGAGGTCGTGGGTTAGATCTCGGCCCCGATGCCTGTTGTATATTTGGAGTTTGCGTGTCTCTCTCATCATCATCATCACGGTGGCTAGGAGATGTTAACTACCTCGCCTGGTGTACAGGAGGTCGTGGGTTCGATCTCGGCCCCGATGCCTGTTGTATATTTGGAGTTTGCGTGTCTCTCTCATCATCATTATCACGGTGGCTAGGAGATGTTAACTACCTCGCCTGGTGTACAGGAGGTCGTGGGTTCGATCTCGGCCCCGATGCCTGTTGTATATTTGGAGTTTGCGTGTCTCTCTCATCATAATTATCACGGTGGCTAGGAGATGTTAACGACCTCGCCTGGTATACAGGAGGTCGTGGGTTCGATCTCGGCCCCGATGCCTGTTGTATATTTGGAGTTTGCGTGTCTCTCTCATCATCATCATCACGGTGGCTAGGAGATGTTAACTACCTCGCCTGGTATACAGGAGGTCGCGGGTTTGATCCCGACCCTGACGCCTGCTGTATATTTGGAGTTTGCGTGTCTCTCTCTCTCATCATCATTATCACGGTGGCTAGGAGATGTTAACGACCTCGCCTGGTATACAGGAGGTCGTGGGTTAGATCTCGGCCCTGATGCCTGTTGTATTTGGAGTTTGCGTGTCTCTCTCTCTCATCATCATCACGGTGGCTAGGAGATGTTAACTACCTCGCCTGGTGTACAGGAGGACGTGGGTTCGATCCCAACCCTCACATCTGCTGCTGTATATTTGGAGGTTGTGGTGTCTCTCTCTCTCCCCGTGGTCGCGTGGATTTTTCTCCAGGTCCTCCGGTTTTTCCTATCCCCAGTTAGAATCGACAACACTCGCTCGGAGTATTTGGCTGCTGTAAATTTCTACTCGATGATAAGCCGCCACTTCGTTGAGCAATAATTTGTGATGGCCAGATCGCTTCTCAAAAACAGCTAAATATCTCAGTGGGGCCTTAACCTGGTAAAAAATATAAATTAATAGTCGTAATACGTTCTCTGTATGTGCTTCCCACGTGACACCGTCACCTCCTGGATCATGATCTCATCCCCGTCTCTCTCTCTCTCTCGTATCGGAGGGAGCGAGCGTGCGCGTCGTTCTTAATGCGCGCACGGACGGAGCTTGGGGTGGCATTCACGCCGGCTGACAAACACGCATCCGCGGGCGTTTCAGGGTGGGATGAGGCTCCGGGAGCGATCATCGGCGTGACACGCGCTCAGACGCAGAGCGCGCGAGCTCGAAGGCTGCGTCTGAGGACGTCCCGCGCGGTTGCGCGGGACGTCACATACAAGACCGCCTGCCTCTGCCACAATGCCTTCATATCCGCCTGCCCGCCGTAGCTTTCTTCATTATTCACAACTTGCAGCTCAGCACACGGCAGATGCCTGCGCAGCGCGACTCACTACCTCCTTTTGATACCAAGATCCAGGATGGTCATCGTGTCTATGCGCCGCTTCTCGGTGGCAGCCCCAACAGTCTGGAACGATATCACCTCTGCACATTCGCAGCATCACCTCAATCGCCTCTTTCAAGAGACACTTAACAACTCACCTCTACAATCACGCGCTTTTGAGCGACTCTGAGCTTGGCTCCGCGCCTCTGAGTTGCGGCCACTACGTCTGCAAATTTGCGCGCGTTACAAATTGAACTACTATTATTATTATCATCCCGCGCGAGCTCTTGAGTCACGTGGGACAAAGTAATCGACGCGTTCCGCAAGTTCGACTGCGTCCCCCTAACACCACCACCAACAACAACTAGCCCACCCTCATCTGCTTTGGGTCTTTCGGTAAAGTCACGCAGATAGGTTCCAAGAAAATAGCAAAAAAATAACAAAAAACGACGACGTTTCGATCGCAAATGTTGCGATCGAAACGTCCGCTGAGTTTGGCTGGCCAGAATACCCCACAAAGTGGACAATTGGTTAAGATATTCACGTTCATTATTCAGACGGTGATTTCTCAGAACCACCACGTCGGGTCAGGCAAGGGGGGGGGGGGGGGCTCCTCTGTTTGGAACTAAATTCAACAAAAGGGGGCAGTACAGTCGCCAACAAAGTCTGAGAACCGCTGCTGAATAAGCGCAGAGCCACGTTGTGAATGCGGAGTTCGAACTCCCGGCGAAGACAACGAGAAACAGCGGCCGCCCCAAGCCGTGTGAGTGGAACAGGGGGATGCGAGAAGAGAGAAGGTGGAGGTAGGCAAGGAAATTTTTTTTTGTTCCACCAGGTAAGGGGCCGTCCATAAATGACGTCACGCACCTAGGGGGGGTCAGACATTTGTGACGATGTGTGACGAGGGGGGGGGGTGGGTTTGAGAAATGTGACGTCACATCAAAATGCGCAACTTTAAATAAATATACACAACACGTTCTACTTACTTAAATATACTTTTTATATAAATGTTTCTCCTACAACATCAGAGTGCAGCGCCACATTAAATACGCACTACAACGGCAATAGTTTAAAGCGATTTGAAGCATGTTTTATTTTTTGGGGGGTGGGGGGGGGGCAGAGCTTTGTGACGTCATATTTGAGGGGGGGGGGGGGTCTGACTATTTGTGACGCCGTGTGACGAAGGGGGTGGGGGCAAAAATCGTCCAAAATCGCGTGACGTCATTTATGGCCGGCCCCTAAGGCCCCACTGAGCTCATATGTGACCCTTTGTCAGAAGCGACCTGGCTTTCACAAATTCGAAGTCAACGAAGTGTGACATCATCAATATCATCACGTGGAAATGTACAGCGGTAGCCAAATTCCCTAAACGCACTTTGATTCTAAATGTGGAGGGGAGAACTGGAGGACCCGGAACCCATGCGACCAACGGGGAGAGAGATGTCCGAACTCCAAATTTGCAGGCCTCGGGGAGGAGATTGAACCCGGGCGAGGTAGTTGACATCTCGCCGGTAGCGATGTGACAACAACAACAGCAGCAGCCATCTTGGGCGGGAGGGTGGCAGCAGGTGTAACCATCAGTGCCTCCCCCCCACCCCTCCAATATTCAAATATGTTCAGAATGTCCCCCCCCCCCTTCAATATATTGCTATAAAATAGATGTCTGTTTCAACGGAGGCATGTAATACAATACACTATTAGACATTATTGTAAATAAATAAAATCCATCCTATGAGTTAGTGAATTTTTTACTATTTTAGGCAGGAAATGGCAGGAAATTCGTTTTCAAATTGACATTTTTTTCTGGGGGGGGGGGACCCCCAGACCCTCTGAAAGATTTGGTCCCCCCCAATGTTGACTCCATAGCTGCGGCCTTGCCTCACAGCAATAAGGGGCCGGGGTCTGATTGCCCAGCTCGGTCGCCTTGCAGTGCGGAGTTTGTTTTGTTCTCCCCCTGTTCTGCCTGCGTTGCCTCTGTGTTCTCTGATGTCCTCCTCGAGCTAAAAACAAACAACAACAACAACGACATTGTAACTGATATCGGCTAAAACATCCCAAAGTAGCAGCTGGTCCCTCCTGAAAGAAAACGCGTCGTTTTCCTGGCTAAATGTCATCGTATTATGTTAGGATAAAAGTTTCCGGCTAGCCGGCATGTCGTGGGGGTGGTGGGGGGGGGTGCCACGGTGGCGAGATGTTAACAACCTCGCCTGGTATACAGGAGGTCATGGGCTCAATCCCGACCCTGACGCCTGCTGTATATTTATTAGTAATGAATTGGCATATTCTGTTTACATGACAAACCTTACTAATTGGCTGTGTCAGGTTGTGGCGGGTTTAACGACACGTTTATACGTATGCAATCTAACCCCAAAAAACCTGCATTATGGATATTTGTCGAAAAAGTTTATGTGTTAAACTGTATATTTGGAGTTTGTCTCTCTCCGCATGGTAGCATGGATGTTTTTCTCTGGGTCCTCTGCTTTTTTCCGACACGTTAAATTTTTTTTTGAAAAATGTAGAGGGATTGTAAATGTTGTGGCTTGGCTCTCCAACACACCGGTGTGCTGTACTAGTAAGGAATTTGCATGTTCTGTTTACGTGACAAAACTTACTAATTGGGTGATAAGCCACTTCGTTGAGCTATCATTTGTGGCCAGGTCATTTCTGAAAAGCAGCTATACAGCTCAGTGGCGCCTTACCTGGTAAAATAATAAGTATAACCAGTAAAAACAAAGTTTTTCACTATAAATCCTTTATATGCGTGGCAGCGAACTTAATATAAAGGATTTAAAAATATATTCGCCTGTGAAGGACGCGGGGATCGATCCCGCGACCTTTGGCATGGGAAGCGAGGGCTTCATCCACAGCTCCCTCCTTCATTGTCAGCTCACTCTTTCATCCACAGCTCCCTCCATCCACAGCTCGCTCTTTCATCCACAGCTCGTTCCTTCATCCACAGCTTGCTCCTCCATCCACAGCTCCCTCCTTCATCCACAGCTCCCTCCATCCACAGCTCCCTCCTTCATCCACAGCTCCCTCCATCCACAGCTCCCTCCTTCATCCACAGCTCCCTCCATCCACAGCTCCCTCCTTCATCCACAGCTCCCTCCATCCACAGCTCCCTCCATCCACAGCTCCCTCCTTCATCCACAGCTCTCTCCATCCACAGCCCCCTCCATCCACAGCTCGCTCCTTCATCCATAGCTCCCTCCATCCACAGCTCCTTCCTTCATCCACAGCTCCCTCCTTCATCCACAGCTCCCTCCATCCACAGCTCCCTCCTTCATCCACAGCTCCCTTCCATCATCCACAACTCCCTCCATCCACAGCTCCCTCCTTCATCCACAGCTCCCTCCATCCACAGCTCCCTCCTTCATCCACAGCTCCCTCCATCCACAGCTCCCTCCTTCATTCACAGCTCCCTCCATCCACAGCTCCCTCCTTCATCCACAGCTCCCTCCATCCACAGCTCCTTCCATCATCCACAGCTCCCTCCATTCACAGCTCCCTCCTTCATCCACAGCTCCCTCCATCCACAGCTCCTTCCTTCATTCACAGCTCCCTCCATCCACAGCTCCCTCCTTCATCCACAGCTCCCTCTATCCACAGCTCCTTCCTTCATTCACAGCTCCCTCCATCCACAGCTTCCTCCATCCACAGCTCCCTCCATCCACAGCTCCTTCCTTCATTCACAGCTCCCTCCATCCACAGCTCCCTCCTTCATCCACAGCTCCCTCCATCCACAGCTCCTTCCTTCATTCACAGCTCCCTCCATCCACAGCTTCCTCCATCCACAGCTCCCTCCATCCACAGCTCCCTCCTTCAACTACAGCTCCCTCCATTCACAGCTCCCTCCTTCAACTACAGCTCCCTCCATCCACAGCTCCTTCCTTCATTCACAGCTCCCTCCATCCACAGCTCCCTCCTTCATCCACAGCTCCCTTCCATCATCCACAGCTTCCTTCATCCACAGCTCCCTCCATCCACAGCTCCCTCCTTCATCCACAGCTCCCTCCATCCACAGCTCCCTCCTTCAACTACAGCTCCCTCCATCCACAGCTCCTTCCTTCATTCACAGCTCCCTCCATCCACAGCTCCCTCCTTCATCCACAGCTCCCTCCATCCACAGCTCCTTCCTTCATTCACAGCTCCCTCCATCCACAGCTTCCTCCATCCACAGCTCCCTCCATCCACAGCTCCTTCCATCATCCACAGCTCCCTCCATTCACAGCTCCCTTCTTCATCCACAGCTCCCTCCATCCACAGCTCCTTCCTTCATTCACAGCTCCCTCCATCCACAGCTCCCTCCTTCATCCACAGCTCCCTCCATCCACAGCTCCTTCCTTCATTCACAGCTCCCTCCATCCACAGCTTCCTCCATCCACAGCTCCCTCCATCCACAGCTCCCTCCATTCACAGCTCCCTCCATCCACAGCTCCCTCCTTCAACTACAGCCCTCTCCTCTCGTCCTTCCCCCTCCGACGTCCGCCAATATCCGCACGGTCCCCTCTCCCATTTCCTCCTCCTCCCCTCATCCTTGTCACGTCATTCCCAGCCACCAATCACACATCGCCACATCTCGGACTATGTCTTCTCATCTCCAGCCACCAATCATATATCGTGCATGACCTGGTTAGATAAAAAAAAAAGTAGGTTCGTTTTATTAGTAAAAAATTGAAAGTGATTTATTTACCTTTCCTATACTTCACACTGCTATTGTGTTTTTTTGTATTGTTTGTTGTTGTAACGTTTTGACCCCGTGCCCCTACCGGACATCTGCGAAAAAAGCTTAGTAGCTCATCGGATTCCTCCTGCAGTATAAATAAATATTCCAATTCTGATACGGCGCGGTTACTCCCGGTAAAGTAGGTGCACTGGGATTGACATCAGTGTGTAAAGTACGGGGGGGGGGGCGGGTAAGGTGGGGGGAATGAACACCAATGTTGTGGGGACCATTACCGGCGGAAATTCTCACCACTGCCCCCCCCGCCCCCCCACCCTTTCTGCAGGTGCCCAGGTATGCCGTCCGCACCTGCTCGCTAGCCACCCGGCGCTGCCCTGGCTCGACAGCGGCAAGGCTCTGGGCGGGCACGCCTCTCACGGCCCGCCGGCGTGGGCCCTCCACCACGCGGCCCAAGCGGCTCACGCGGCCCACGCGGCCCACCAGGCCCACCACCACCAGCACCACCACCACCACCCCGGCGGACCGGTGAGCGCGCCGTACCACGCGGCAAGCCCCGCGGCCCACCACCATCTCTTCGGCTTCCCGCCCACGCCGCCCAAGGACCCCGGGACGCCGGAGGCAGCGCCGGGGCAGGAGAAGGACGGCGGCGGCGGTGGCGGCGGCGGCGGTGGCGGCGGTGGCGGCCAGAAGGGCGTCCACTTTGGCCTCATGACGGCTGCCGAACAGCAGGGAATGAAGATGGAGAACTGCAGCCCGTCGCGGGGAGGGGAGCAGAGCGGCGGTGGAGGCGGTGGAAGCGTGCCAGCCACCACGACGCACCACCCCATCCCCATGTACCCGCCGTACCTGGGCGCTGGCGGGCAGGATTACGGGCCGGCCCTCTACTCGCACGCCGGCCTCCTTGGCAGCTCCAACTCCAGCTTCACGCCCAAGCACAAGAACAAGGCCCGCACGGCCACAGGTACGCAGAGCGAGCCACGGTTGCGAGATGTTAACTATCTTGTTATGTATACAGGAGGTCGTGGGTTCGATCCTGACTTTGATGATGCCTGTATATTTGGAGTTTGAATATTCTCTCTCCCCGTGGTGGTTGCGTGGATTTTTATCCAGGTCCTCCGTTTCCCTCCTCATTTAAAATCAACATCACGCGTTTAGAGTATTTGGCCGCTATAAATATCCACGTGATGATACGCCACTACGTTGCGCTTTGATTTGTGATGGCCGTTGTCACTTCTGAACAAAGAGTTATGTTACACCTCAGTAGAGCCTTACCTGGTAACATGAAAAATTATTTAAATAGTTTTGGTTTAGCTACGGCCAACGCGATGTAATCGCCTAGTTGGTCTAGCGGCCAGAGCCTCTAGCCGTGGTGTTACATGACCACGCCTCCCTTTCCCCACTGCCTAATTTGCCGAGCCGATCCAGAACGAAAGGCGTCATACGTTGACCGTGCAGAGATGTCCAAAATAATTTAGGCTCAGGGCAAAGCAGGACCAAGGGGGCAGGGGGCTACCATTGCACGTGACGCTAGTCAAGCGCTCACTGTGGACGACGGAGCGTCACCACATCTTCGCCTTACACGCGTCCCATTAACACGGTTGGCAACATACGGTGCGAAAGAAGTTCAACATACGTATAGATATCTCGACGCGTCCATTGACGCACGACGCAAGGCGGCAATGGCTCGGCTTCTGTGGTGGCAAAAACGGAAGTGCTGCCACCGCTTCACACTCATCCCAGAATGCACCACCGCGGCACGCCGTGTGATCGCCTGCTGGCGGTGTGTCAATGGCCCTGCGTGCTACAGTAGAGCTGCATCACAGCTGTCTGCTCCTCGGATAATCAAGAGTCTGGAGAATACGGTGTCTCCAAGTGGATAGGTCAAATGTTGTTTATGGAAATGAGACAGTGGAGAGGGAGGGGTCCTGCGATGGGGCGGAGGGGGCCAGTGCTCGAAATCCTACTCCAGGCCTGAACCAGTGGTTGGAAATTCCACATTCCTATGGCTAGGAGGTGAGTCAACAGAACGACCACTCACGATGGAGGATTTTCGGGTTAGATCACGTACATCTACGCGATCTAACCCAGAAAATCTCTATTATGGATGATATTGGTCGCGAAAGTCTACGTGTTAAACAGATCGATCACTCCATCTTCTTGGTTCTTTCGGTAAAGTCACGTAGAAGGGAAGCAATAAAATAATAAAAATAAAACATAATAAAATAAAATAATTCTCACGACGTTTCGGCCACAACGCTTGCGTCTCACGACGTTTCGGCCACAACGCTTGCGTTGTGGCCGAAACGTCGTGAGAATTATTTTATTTTATTATGTTTTATTTTTCTTATTTTATTGCTTCCCTTCTACGTGACTTTACCGAAAGATCCAAGAAGATGGATCCCTGCAGTCACGAAAGCTTTAAATCGAGATCGACCACTGTTCACGTCCCACATTGTACATGCATACATCTTTTGTCAATCCGCTGCTGGATGAAGGCCTCCCAGTCCCATATCGGTCGTAGGGGCAGGGAGTTATTTGACCCATACTTTACCATGCTGGTCAGTGCGGGTTGGTGAATCCATCAAACATGTCCCCTGCACGAACCCTCTGCATATCGAACACGGGGTCAACCCACACACTGCCCTATTGTGGAAACCTGCTTGTGTATCAGTGGCCACCGCTCCACGTGGCTTCCCAGTCTCAACGCTTGCTTAGCTTGCCGCCGTGGTGATTTTGGTCGTGGGGTGACTTCGTGCGACGCGGTGCTCACGAATGCGCGTCCCGTGACACGAACACGCGGGCTCGTTTTCGCAGCGTCACAGCACGCGCACGCACGTGTCACGCGCACGCACGTGTCACGCGCACGCACGTGTCACGCGCACGCACGCACGTGTCACGCGCACGCACGTGTCACGCGTGCACGCACGTGTCACGCGCACGCACGTGTCACCACCGTGGGATCGTCTGAGGCTAAATCGCAACCCGTATCTGTCCGTCGATTTAACTGCGGCATAGCTCCAGACTGCGGGTTGGGCCTGCCACGTCCCGGTCTCTTGAGCTTTCCCCAACGCACCACGTGACTGTGACCGCTTACAAACCAGCCATGTGCCTAAGCGAGCGGCGTTGCCAAACTCTGACTGAACATCTTTTCCGGGAGATATTTTTTTTGTTACTCTGAGTATTATTATTATGATAAAATTCGTTTCTTTTAAATATCCCCCATTATTAAAATCTCCCGGGATTGCTTTGAATTGTCACCGGGAGAGGATCGATGGAAAATTCCGGCGGAAACTCGAGGGTCAATCTGGGGAAGGAGGGATGTGGCAATTCACCTAGCGAGCACGCGGGCTTCGAGAGCCATCGGAGCAGCAGCAGAAGTTTGCGACCGAGCGGAGAGGGCACGCGCGCTCGTGCAGCGTCATCAGCAGCGGCAGCAATCGCTGAATGATGCTTCTTGTGTGTTTTTTTTTTTAACGAGAGAGGAATTCTCGCTCGCTGAGACTCCGCTTGGCCCTGACCATGGACAACCCACACGGGGAAAGCTTATCCCGCACAATCCACCTCGCCCTCCTCCTCCTCGTTGTCAAGCGGATCGATCAAACCGTGGACGGGAACCTCTTCACCGCGCGGTAGAGAGTAAATCGACGAACAGGGACGATGTTTCCTCTCTCCACGTATCCATCCGCCTCTGGGCATTCAAAAAAATATATATTTCATACCCAACCCCCATCCGCCAGTGTTTCAAGACTCGCAAAAGTCTGGACCAGTTTCGACGCGCAGAGTGTTAGCGGAGTCAGGCTTGCCTCGAATTAATGCTGGTGAACCACTCGTCTTGCAGGCAAAGGAACCCTGTCTGAGCTGATGCGGGGACCTCCTCGTTCCATGCGCAGTCGTTGTCGACATCCACAATTAAGAATTGTTAATTGAAAGGGTGGGAGCGGTGTTTGTTTGCAACGCTGTGACTTCCCATCTGGTTGGTGCCTCCACCACGGTGGCTAGGAGATGTTAACTACCTCGCCTGGTGTACAGGAGATCGTGGGTTTGATCCCAACCCTGACGCCTGCTGCTGTATATTTGGAGTTTGCGGTGTCTCTCTCTCATCATCATCACGGTGGCTAGGAGATGTTAACTACCTCGCCTGGTATACAGGAGGTCGTGGGTTCGATCCCAACCCTGACGCCTGCTGCTGTATATTTGGAGTTTGTGGTGTGTGTCTCTCTCTCTCTTCCTGTGCTCGCGTGGATGTCTTTTTTTTCCCCGCGTTCTTTTCGGTTTTCCCTCCACGTTTAGAATCGACGCGCGTTCACAGCATGTGGCTGCAATAAATGTCAACGTGACGACAAGCCACTTCGTTGAGCTATCATTTGTGACAGCCAGGCCGCGTCTGTTAAAGAAATATGTAGCTCAGTGGGGTCTTACCTGGTAAAATTAAATTTTAAAAATATTTTTGTTTTAGCTTCTCCTCTGATGCCCTCTCTATAGCCCGGAACTCCGCCCCCCCCCCCCCCACCTCCTTCGAGCTGTCCGTGCTGTCGGCTTCCCTGCCTCTGTTCAGATCCAGGCTCAAGACCTTCCTCTGCTGCTACCCTGCCTATGTATGACTGCCTCGCTCGCTCGCTCTCTCACGCTCTCTCTCTCTCTCGCTTTGTCTTCATGCCAATGAACATTGCCACTGTTTCTGCCCATCGTCTTGAGATGTGTCCGCATTTAGACGCTGCAACGAAGCAGCACTGAGCGCAGCTCGTCACGTAGAGGCCCAACGGGGAGTCACTTAAAGATCCACAGGCTCACACTGAGACCGATATACCCATAGGTTAACACAGAAACCCGTAGACCCCCATAGACACCTATAGCACTACATGGTGACCCAAAGACTCACGCTGAGACCTATAGACTGGCATAGACACCCCTAGACTCACGTGTGGACACACAGACTCACATGTCGAACCATAGACCCGCATAGACACCTCTAGACTCACATGTGGACACACAGACTCACATGTCGAACCATAGACCCGCATAGACACCTCTAGACTCACATGTGGACACACAGACTCACATGTCGAACCATAGACCCGCATAGACACCTCGTGACTCACATGTGGACACACAGACTCACATGTCGAACCATAGACCCGCATAGACACCTCTAGACTCACATGTGGACACACAGACTCACATGTCGAACCATAGACCCGCATAGACACCTCGTGACTCACATGTGGACACACAGACTCACATGTCGAACCATAGACCCGCATAGACACCTCTAGACTCACATGTGGACACACAGACTCACATGTCGAACCATAGACCCGCATAGACACCTCGTGACTCACATGTGGACACACAGACTCACATGTCGAACCATAGACCCGCATAGACACCTCGTGACTCACATGTGGACACACAGACTCACATGTCGAACCATAGACCCGCATAGACACCTCGTGACTCACATGTGGACACACAGACTCACATGTCGAACCATAGACCCGCATAGACACCTCGTGACTCACGTGTGGACCCATAGACTCACAAATAGACCGATGGACCCACGTAGACACATGTGGACGCACATGTCGACCAATAGACTCACACGGGGAGAACACTTTGGCTGCCTCCATGTGCAAAGCAAACACTGCCCCCCCCTCCCCAATCCCCCCACTGTTTGTGTGCAGCGTCTCAAGCGAGATGCGGTCGCGTGCAGGAGACACTGCATGAAGAGGGCAGAAGCAGCATTGTTGTTGTCTTATTATAACCATCACCATCATCATCATTAATCAATCGTCATTATCATCACTGCATATCCTGACGGCCAGCTTTTGCAAAGCAGGTGAAGGCATCCCCAGTGAGATGAGCGAAGGCATGACCAGCCAAGAGTTCTACTCCACGTGGCGTCCGGCACCATACGGAGGCACGGCTAATAGCACTAACGAGACATGCCTTTGTGTGTGTGTGTGTGCACGTGTGTGTGTGCACGTGTGTATGTGTGCACGTGTGTGTGTGCGCGTGTATGTGCACGTGTACGTGTGTGTATGTGTGCACGTGTGTGTGTGTGCTCGCTAACAGCACTTGCCCCAACAGTCTGTTAAGGCTATACCGGGGATCTTTGTCTTTGTGTGTGTACGAGTGTGTGTGTGCGTGCGTCTGTGTGTGTTGGGGGGGAGCGGTGGTGTAGCGGTTAGCGCGCTGCACTACGAACCCGGCGACCCGGGTTCGATTCCCGCTCACGGCCAACGCCAGTGACGATAATCTGAACCGGTCCTTGGCCTCCCCTAGGTCGACTCAGCCTCAAATGAGTACCTAGTGCGGCGTGTAGACATCGCCACTGGGGAGACAACGACGCCCTCAAATCGTGCTGGCCACACCACCCCCTCGTGTGCCGTGACGGCCTTCATAGGTGCTCGCAAACAACACTTGCCCCAACAGTCTGTTAAGACTACACGGGGGGTCTTTATGCTATGTGTGGTGTGTGTGGTGTGTCTTTATGCACGTGCATGTGTACGTGCATGTGTACGTGCATGTGTACGTGCATGTGTGCTATGCGGGGGATCTTTGTGTATGCATGTATGTCTGTATGTTTGCCTGTATGTATGTATGTTTGCCTGTATGTATGTATGTTTGTCTGTATGTATATGTGTTTGACTGTCTGTATGTATGTATGGCTGTATGTCTGTATGTATGTTTGTCGGCCTGTATGTCTGAATGTGTGTCTGTATGTGTGTCTGTATGTTTGTCTGTCTGTGTGTCTGTGTGTATGTATGTATGTCTGTATGTGTGTCTGTATGTTTCTCTGTTTGTATGTGTGTCTGTATGTGTGTCTGTATGTCTGTGTGTATGTATGTATGTCGGCCTGTATGTCTGAATGTGTGTCTGTATGTTTGTCTGTCAGTGTGTCTGTATGTTTCTATGTTTGTCTGTATGTCTATCTATATGTGTGTCTATATGTGTGTCCGTATATCTGTCTGTCTGTATGTTTGTCTGTGTGTCTGTCTGTGAGTATGTGTGTCTGTCTGTGTGTCTGTCTGTATGTGTGTCTATGTGTATGTATGTATGTATGTCTGTATGTGTGTCTGTATGTATGTATGTCTGTCTGTATGTATGTGAGTCTGTATGTCTGTATGTTTCTCTGTCTGTATGTGTGTCTGTATGTGTGTCTGTCTGTATGTGTGTCTATGTGTATGTATGTATGTCTGTATGTGTGTCTGTCTGTCTGTGTGTCTGTCTGTGTGTCTGTCTGTCTGTCTGTTTGTCTGTGTGTCTGTCTGTGTGTCTGTATGTGTGTCTGTCTGTATGTGTGTCTATGTGTATGTATGTATGTCTGTATGTGTGTCTCAATGTGTGTCTGTCTGTATGTTTCTCTGTCTGTATGTGTCCACCCCTCCTCCTCGATGCGCCTGCCGCGCCATTCCTTGATCTGCTACCACGCTCACTAACAGCACTTGACCGCAACAACCCGCGCCCCATCGGCTATACGGGGGAGCTTTGCCTTTGTCTGTGCACGGCGTGCGCGTGCGTGCTGCCGTGTGCCCACGTGCGTCTGCGAGCCTGACCACACTTTACCTGCAGTGAACTTTCAAGAACCCCATCATTCCCAAGAGGGGGAAGGGGGAAGGGGGAAGGGGGGTGGGTCACGAGTTGAGGGGGGGGGGTCGAGATGAGGACGAGGAGGGCCCAAGACACAGCGGCTCCTGGTGGCCTTTAGTGTGGCCCCAGACGTGCCCCCCCAATCGCCCCCCCCCCCGTGGCCTTTAGTGTGGCCCCAGACGTGCCCCCCCCAATCGCCCCCCCCCCCGTGGCCTTTAGTGTGGCCCCAAACGTGCCCCCCAATCGCCCCCCCCCCGTGGCCTTTAGTGTGGCCCCAAACGTGCCCCCCCAATCGCCCCCCCCCGTGGCCTTTAGTGTGGCCCCAAACGTGCCCCCCGCCAATCGCCCCCCCCCCGTGGCCTTTAGTGTGGCCCCAAACGTGCCCCCCCCTATCGCCCCCCCCCGTGGCCTTTAGTGTGGCCCCAAACGTGCCCCCCCCAATCGCCCCCCCCCCCGTGGCCTTTAGTGTGGCCCCAGACGTGCCCCCCCCCCAATCCCCCCCCCGTGGCCTTTAGTGTGGCCCCAAACGTGCCCCCGCCAATCGCCCCCCCCCGTGGCCTTTAGTGTGGCCCCAAACGTGCCCCCCCCCAATCGCCCCCCCCCCGTGGCCTTTAGTGTGGCCCCAAACGTGCCCCCCCCAATCGCCCCCCCCCGTGGCCTTTAGTGTGGCCCCAAACGTGCCCCCCCCAATCGCCCCCCCCCGTGGCCTTTAGTGTGGCCCCAGACGTGCCCCCCCCCCCAAATCCACGAGAATTCGAATAAATAAGTGAATTAACACGTGCACGTTAATTTACTTTAATAAAAAAAATGTGTGTCCATGAACGCGCCTCATCTGAAACGTGTCCGCTGTCTTCGTCTTGTTGTCTGCGTCACCTCTCTGCCTCGACACTTCGCGCGATGGCCTCAAAGTGCACCTAGCCTGGCACGAGCGCGCGGGCGAGGTCACCGACGCTTCGTGGGGACTGCGGTTGTTGTGTGTGTGTGCGTGGGGAGTGGTGAGCGGTGGTGGAGCGGTTAGCGCGCTGTGCTGCGAACCCTCACTAGGTACTCATTGGGGGCCGTCCATAAATGACGTCACGCACCTAGGGGGGGGGTCAGATTTGTGTAACGAGGGGGGGGGGTTGAGAAATGTGACGTCACATAAAAATTCGCAACTTTAAATAAATATAGAATTGTTTAACAACATTAATTGTTATAACAACACCCTACAACATCAGAGTGCAGCGCCACATTAAATACGCGCTACAATGACAATAGTTTAAAGCGATTTGAAGAATGTTTTAGTTTCAAAATGGAAATATGGTTTTGGTGGGGGGGGGGCAGAGCTTTGTGACGTCATATTTGAGGGGGGGGGTCTGATTTTTGTGACGCCGTGTGACGAGGGGGGGGGGGGGTCAAAAATCGTCTAAAATCTCGTGACGTCATTTATGGACGGCCCTTTCGACACGCGCGCACCTGGAGGGCGGGTTTAGCTACGGCGGTGTTCAGGCAAGGGTCGAGACGAACCCAGCTCGTCCCCACCACCCATCGCCGGAATACAAAGGGATCGAGAGAGGCGATTTAAAAACTTAGTTTTTATTTGACCCAGTTAACGCCCCCCCCCCCCACCCCCACTGAGCTATTCAGATATTTTTTTATCAGAAGCGACCTGGCTTTGGCAAATTATAGCTCAACCAAGTGTGGCTTATCATCAGCGTCATCACGTGGACATTTATAGCAGCCAAAACACTCTAAAACGCGTGCCATTCATGCTAAATGTGGAGGGGGAAACTGGAGGGACCCGTAGAAGAATCACGGGGAGAGAGAGATACACGCAAACTCCAAATAAACAGCAGGCGTCAGGGTCGGGATCAAAGCCATGAACCTCCTGTACACCAGGCGAGATAGTTAACATCCTAGCCACCGTGATGATTATGAGAGAGAGACACGCAAACTCCAAATATACAGCAGCAGGCGTCAGGGTCGGGATCAAAGCCATGGACCTCCTGTGCACCAGGCGAGGTAGTTAACATCTCCTAGCCACCGCGGCGCGCCATTGGCGGGGAGTGGTGGCGCAGTGGTTAGCGCACTGCATTGGGAAAGCTTTGTTTGTTATTCAAGTCGAGAGTAAGTTCCCGCTCGATTGAGGCCGTGGTGTTCATCTCTCTATCTCTTTTATACAGTCCCGCAGAGCCAGTGGTGGAAATGTGACATTGCTATGCCAGGGACCGAGTCTAACCATCGTAGAGCCACAGTTGCTAGTCCGTAGAGTGGTTCTCGTCTTTAATGACCAGGGAGAGATGATGAGTCGAACAACCCTCCCCCCCCTCTCTCACCCCAACCCTAAATTTGAAGTTGCAACCTTCCATCTTGTAATAGGTGAGAGTACCCTCACTTCACCCCACCTTCACATCGACTAACTGTGGTGGCCAGGACCGGGGTGGCGGGGTTGGGTGGGGGGGGTGGTGTGGGGTGGGGTGGGGTGGTGGGGGGTGGGGTGGGTGGGGCGGGGCGGGGTTGGGTGGGGTGGTGTGGGGTGGGGTGGGGCGGGGTGGTGTGGGGTGGGTGGGGTGGGGTGGGGCGGGGTGGAGTGGTGAGGGGTAGTGTGGGGGGGGGTGGGGTGGGGTGGGGGGGGGTGGAGTGGGAGGGTGGGGAGTGTGGGGCGGGTGGGGTGGGGTGGGGCGGGGCGGGGTGGGGTGGTGTGG